GGGATGTGGGAGTGGGGCTCTGCCGCCCCGGGGTTGCTCAGGCAGCAGCCCGGGCAGGGAGGGGGTGGCGGGGAGGCTGCCTGGAGGGACCCTGACTGGTCCCATCCTGCCCACCCAGCACCCGGGTTGTGCATTGGGGCTTGCCGCTTTGGCTGGCGGCAGGTGGAGGGACAAAGCTGGCTGGAGAGCGTGTGGGCGGGTGAGATGGGTGTCTGGGTAGGACACACAGGTCTAATTTGCTGGTGGGTTGGTGGCACCCGAACAGGGGAGTGGTGCTGGGATGGAGACGAGGCGAGGAGCACAGACTGCATGGCGTGGGAGTGCAGTGGGCTCTGGTGCAGGGGCCATGCCAGGCAGCGGTGGTGCCCGACAGGTTTGTTGTGGGGAGGGACAGTGCCAGGGAAGTGGCACTGTCCTGCTCATCTTGACACCCACAATCTGCCGCTGATTCCCTCCGGCAGCGTGGGGCAAGGGCTCCATGACACCATGCAGGGCGGCTGTGGGGCTCACCCAGGCAGGGCAGGGGCCGGGCTGGCCCCTGAGCACCGGGGACAGGCTCTGCCAGTATGGACAGACACCGTCCATGTGTCTGCACGTGCTCTGCTTGTACTGCCCATGCTTGCTTACTCCCATAGCTGCCTGCCTGGGCGGTAGCAGAGGCAAGGAGCACCCGTGGGTGGGAGGGTCCAGCCGGGGATCCTGACTCCTTCTGTGCTGCAGCTCTTTGACTCTTCCCAGAGCAAGTCTGCTGTTAATTCCCTCCATCTCTCCACAGCATCAACAGTCCCCTCTGGGCCAGGCCGTTGGCAGGCGGGCAGCAGTGGGCAGCTGGCAGGCTGTGAGGAGCGGTGGCACATCTCCCTGCATCCGTGCTCCTAACTCACCCAGCAGAAGGTGTGGCTGGGCTGCGCACTCCTGACTTCCAGCTCTCCTGCTCTGTCTGTTCCTGGTGGGCAAATTGGAGGCTTGGCATGATGGGGATGCCCTGAGCACTCGCCCCAGGAGCTTCAGGCCTGGATGTTGGTGCTGCTCCTCCCGGACGATGTGGCTGATATTCTGGAGAAGCCCTCTCTTGCCCCCTGTTCTCCAAGTGCCTGAGCTGGTGGCTGGCTGGGACCCGCGTCTCGCCCTCTGGGTCCTGAGCTTCGCCTCGGCGGTTGTGCAGATGGAGGGCCAGGTCTACTCGCCGACTGTCAACACGCACTATGGGAAGTTACGGGGGGTGCGTGTGCCACTGCCCAGTGAGATCCTGGGGCCTGTGGACCAGTACCTGGGGGTGCCTTACGCCGCCCCCCCCATCGGGGAGAAGAGGTTCATGCCCCCTGAGCCACCACCATCCTGGTCAGGCATCAGGAATGCTACCCACTTCTCGCCGGTCTGCCCGCAGAACATCCACAATGCTGTTCCTGAGATCATGCTGCCCATCTGGTTTACCTCCAATTTGGATATTGTGGCCACGTACATCCAGGACCCCAATGAAGACTGTCTGTACCTCAACATCTACATCCCCACGGAGGATGGTGAGTCCCCGCCGGGGTGCCCGCAGGAGGGCAGGGGGGGCCGCTCTGCCGCTCCTCAGCAGTGGTTGGTCTCACCTGGGTGTTGTGTTTGAAGCATGTGGTTGTGGATCCTGCAGCATGCTGTCTGTTTGTGGAAAGCTTTCTCTGGCCACGCAGCTCGCCCTCTTGCCCTCAGCTGCCATCTCTGTCTCGCGTGCTCCTCCACACCTCCCAGTCCCCCCCCTCCACCTCCATGGCATTGTCACGGGTTCCTCTCTTGTGTTGCTAAATCTGAATCCGACTCTCTGACTGCAGATCCACAGAGCGACAAGCTGGTTTGTGCTACCCAGGCGCCGAGTGCCAGGTTCTGTCTTGAGTTGGTTCGGGTTCGTCCTTCCTTCCCCGTTCCTACCCTCCCCAGGTCCATGCGCTAGTTGTGGGTGTGGGCTGCAGCTGGGAGGAACACTCTCTGCCTCTCCCTAGGGAGATGCTCCGGCAAGGAAGGGATTGTGGAGCCATTTTCTGGGCCCTGGTATGGACGGGAGGTTGGGGGCACCAGCAGGCACATCGCTTGGCTTCTCCCCCGTCCGCCGGCGGGACGGCGGCAGAGCAATGAGCCTGGGGTGCTGGGGACCTGCAGGGCATGGTCCCGTTGGGGTGAGGCTGAGCGGCGCTGGGTGCCTCCTTGTCTAACCTTTTCCTTTGTAGGGGACCCCACCTGAACTGTAAGTAGAGGGCAGAGGAGGCAGCGCCTGCCCGTGTGCCCACCCCAGCCTCACTGCAACGGGAGCCCCCGGGGATTTTTCAGCGGGCTCTAATGAACCTGCAGCAGGTCTGCTGTGCACGGCGGAGCAGCCTGTTGGGCCGGTGGCTTCTCCCAGGCCGGCTGGCTCCACTCCTCTGTCACTGGGGCCCTTGGCCATGGGACGCATCGTGCCTTCCTTCCTGCCCAGCACAGCTGGCCCAGAGTTTTCCTCCCACAGCGCCGCTCCCTCCCCACCTCCCGCGGTCCCGGGGGCGGTGGGAGGGCGGCAGCGTGGTTGTGATTGCATGCCCACTCCGGCCAGTGGAGCCTCCTGTTATTTTGTAGTCTTTTATTCATTTTACAGTAAAACGGATTTCCAAGGAATGCACCCGAAAGCCCAACAAGAAAATATGTAGAAAAGGAGGTATGTAGCAAGCCGACCGGCAGAGAGGCACAGAGAGGAAAGAGAGAGAGAGTGAGAGAGTGAGAGGGTGCCTGGGTGGCCCCCGGCCGATGGCATGCTCCTCCAGCACCTCTCTGTGCCACCACTCAGACCACGGGTCTTCCGTGCAGCCAGCCCCACCGCTCCCCAGTTCCCGCTCGGAGGAGCCCTGCGGATGCTACGGCCACCTCCGCTCCCCAGGACTGGTGCTGGCTGGAAGCGCAGGTCTGGGGTCAGGTCAGAGGAGGATGCTCACATTGCTCCAGGCCTTTCAGAACAGCTTTTTCCATGCTGAGCCCACACTCCCACCTTCATCCCATTGGCACCAGCAGCCTTCCAGTCCCTGGGTATGAGGGTGAGCCTCTGATGGTGGGTAGCACTTAAATACACCCATTCTTTAGGGGTGCATCCCCTATTGGGAGTGTAGAGACCTGCTCAGGGAAGCACCTCTGTGATGGAGGACTGCAGCCCATCCCGGGCTGAACTCTTCCCCCATTACATACCTGGTCCTTTTACATCCGAAGCTCCTTGGTTAAAAGCATAAAACCTCTCCTGCCTGTGTAAACGCTGCAATGTTTTGCTCCGGCCTGTGATCCTGCCAAGGCTGCTCCCCACTGCTTACACTCCCATGCCTCTGCCAGCCCTGCCAGGGAGGATCTGCTCTGCACCCCCTGGCCCAGCACCCTCCCTGAGCCCCAGCCACCCCGCAGGCGGCCGAGCACCTCCAATTCAGACACATGTCTACTTTGTCTTGCTTCCATCCCCAGGGCCTCCTGGGGCTCATCCTGCTGCACAAGGAGGGCAGCTCAGCCCCCCTTGCCCCAGAGAGAGGCTTCTGTCCAGCCCCAGTACTGCGGGCCAGGGAGTGGAGACCTGCAAGTGGGAGCCGACTCAGCCCCTTGTTGGACACGATGCTTCACCCGTCCCACCGCATGGCCCCCTTGCAGGCAGGGAGAGCCCAGGCTGCTCTGTGTATCCCAAGGTTGTGTGGGGGTTGGGCAGCCAAGCTCTTCTGAAAGGCTTAGTGCAGGGAGGGGGTGTCTGGCAGGCAGGGGCTGCCTTCCTGGGCATCCTGCAGCAGCAGGGTCCCTGCATCCCAGCCTTTGCCTCCCTGCGCCGCTGGGGTTGTCAGGGCCGGCAGATCTAGGCTTGGAGTTTTGGGGACTGCTTTCCTTCCAGCCATTTCCCCCAGTTCTGTTGCTGGGTTTCTTTGCTTTGCTTTTCCTGTTGCTGTCCTGGCTATTCACACGCCATCTCTCTGAGTGCCAAGGCTGCCCCTGAAAGGACTGGCGCATTAGGGAGTCTCCGCACGCTGCCTCCGGAGCCGGCTGTGCCAGTGATCGCCAGCCACTTCAAAGCGCTTCCTCTCCCGGCCCTCCCCCCGGCTGGCGCCGCTCGCGCCCCCAGCCCCGCGGCCAGAGAAGCAGGCTCTGGGTTACGGCTGGAAAAGGAGGACACCATAAGGCACGGTCAAACGCCTTGTGTGCACTCGTCCCCTGGTTTTCCCTCCCTGCTGGCTCTGCTCACAGACAGGGTTTCTTTGCAGCCCGTCTGTCTCTGGTCACCTCCCGGGGAGCTGGTGGGGGACGTGCCCTCTGGCTCCCCGGGGCTCTGCTGACTCATGGACCAGCAGATCCCCAGTGCTGGCCATTTGGGCATCCAGGCATGACGTGCCCAGAATTAGATTACCCATGCACTGGCGCTGCCCTTTGGCTCCAGCCATGGCTCTGGTAGCCGTTGGCTTGAATTAATTGAGTCACTTGTCATGAGATACGGAGGCTCCTGCACACCTCGTTGTGTATCCTGGGTTAATAATGCTTGGGGTAGGGATAATGTACCTGCAGTGCTGATTTCTTTGGGCTGTGTGTCATTTGAACATTGGCTCATTCTAGAATATTCTTGATTATTATCTCTAAGGCCATATATGAGCGGTGAATAAGGTCTCCTCTTGCAAAGCAGGCAGTTGTGCAGTATTCCGGTGGTTCAGAATGCCTCAGCTCCTACCTTACTAGAGTTTTGATGATTTATGCCACCCCTAAGCTCAGTGTATCTCATAGCCGGCGAAGGACTGCGAATTTATCGCTTGGACAGAAAAACGTCCCTCTTTCCCTGCCCAGTTGCCCACAATAATTTCCTGTATGGAAATTTCCTACATGCCAGTCTCCTCCATTCACGCTGGTCCCTTCTCTGGGAGCAAGGCAGGGCAGCAGTGCTTTGAGAATAATTAGTCATGCACAGTGCCAGGGGAGCTGACAACGCTGAGACTCAGCTGAGGCTCAAGCTTTGCTGTGAAAATAATGCTGCCCACCCGAAAAGCATGTACACACACGCAGTGCAGTTACCTGTGTGCAAAATGCAGCTCTACCCTTTGCTGTGTGCTGCTAATACTTGCAGCCGGTGCTTGGCTGTAGCAGGTGCTGGGATGCTTTCCCCTTCCCTTCACCACCAGGCTGGGAAGGCCTTGCTGCAGGGCATGAGGAGGTGGATGTCATTTTTGGAGGGGGAAAGTGTGGCTGCCCTGCACATAGCAGCCCTCCCCGGTTCTTACTAGCAACTTCCCTTCTCTCCGGCTGGGGCTGTGCAGAGTCTGTGATGCTGCAGAGACAAATGTGCCAGTCCAGCATCTTGCCCTGCTGTGTGAGGGTGGCTGGAGCTCCCAGCAGCTCCTGGGCTTGGTATGCACTTCGGCTGCTCTGTGGGAAAAGCATTGTGGCTTCTCCACTGCTTTCCAAGAAGCGAACTTGTCTGAGTACTGGCTGAGGCTTCCCTACAGCTGCATGACTTTTGCAGTGCTCCCTTGCTGGAAGGCTTCTCACCAGCCTCCTGTGAAGCCTGCTGCTTTGCAGAACTGGCTGGGAGCAGACCACTGCCCTGATGCTCTACTTCTGCTCCGCGGAGCAATCTGCAAAGGTGAGGGTAGGTGTTTGTGCTGGTGGAGGCAGCAGAGCGTGAGCAGACGGAGTGCTTTTATGGAGTCCGCTCAAGGATGGAGATAACTCCTCTGCATCACCCAGGGACAGGGAGGGGCAGCGCTGCATGAAGGTGCACTGCAGTCCTGGAGCAAGGGCCGATGGCTGGAGGGAGAGGCCACCTGACACAGCTCCCAGGGGATCTGCCCCTGCCCGTGGAGTTGTGCAGCAGCAGGCTCAATGGCTGTCGTCAGTCCCTGGTCCGTTCCTTGTTGCTCCTGGAGAGGCACCTGAGCCAGTGTGACCACCAGCATGTGTGCCTTTGGGTGCACATGGCCATCAGACCTGGTGGCCATGCGGCTGTGGGCTCCTGCTCCCTGCAGCAGCAGAGCTGCTGCGTGGGAGCAGGGGCCCCAGCGAGCTTGCACTGAGGAGCGGGTGCTGGGGCTGCCCATGGCTGCTGTGAGCAGACATTTGGATCTGGAAAGGTGTCAGCTCAGGCTCCTGCTCGTCTCTTATCCACACCATGCTGAGCACAAGGGCTCCAAGAACTGAGGCTCCTCACACGCCTTTATCTCTCTTTGCGCTGGTGTCAGTGCTGTTGATATAGTTTACTTAAGATAGCATAAATCCAGCGTGGATGCCCCTGTTTCAGGGAAAGTGATTTTATTTTTTACGGAACTTGAGCTTAAATCTTCCTAGAGTCTTCAGATAAGAGCATATGCATCCTTCCTATCGGCCTGAACAATGTCACTTTGCAGTCAGCTTAAAGTGAAGCGGCACAGCAGGCATTCACACTGGGTTAGTGGAGGGAGTTTTTGATGGGTAAGGAGAGTGAGAGCCATGAGTCCTTTTGGTTTTTCCAGCTGTGAATCCACAAGCTTAAACCCATCCTCATGAGAGTAGGTGCTATGGGAATCTGCGTGGTGGCCTTTGCCAGTGCGGAGGAAGATCTTCTGGAATGGGTGTCCTTGAACATGGCAGTAACCAGTGGAGGGAGGTAATGGAGCAAAGTGCAAGAGATGGGTGAGGGAAATGAAGCTGTAATTGCTTTCATTACCTGTGGGGCATCGGTGGGTCGTCATGGAGGTGAGCAACTTAGCAAGAGGCAAAAAGCCTGCTTTGTCACAGCAGCCTGTGTTGACTGTACCTTCCTGGTGATGGGGAGGCTCGTGCTTTGCATCTGCCACACACATGCCACTGCTGTTCCCCTTCCCCCTGGTCTGCATTCCTATGCTTCTGCTTTGCTTAGCTTCCTAGCGCTGCCTTCTACCAACCCTTCTGCGGTGCGCGAAGCTCAGGTTGCTTTAGGCTTGTCCCAGCCACCCCTAAGCTCTGGAGTGGTGGTCTCCAGCCGGATCTCTCCCTGCTCAGCCAGGATGGTTGCTCAGATCACAGGGATGCTCTCCACTGCCCTCTCTTACAGCCTGACAGCTCCTCATCCCTGTCCGCATGGAGATCTTTGTCCCCTGAGGAGACCAGGCTGGAGGGCTGCAGCCTGGCCAACCCTGGGGCTTCAACAGCACTAGGGTCCTTGGCAGTGAAAGATCTCCAGCTGCCTGTGATCAGCTTCCCAGCTCTGAAGCGTGGTGCGGATGAAGGCTTGCTGCCTGTGGTCTTCATTAGAGAAAAATCCCTATCCCTGAGCAGTACCAAGGAGGTTGGCGCATAGCACCAGTTAGCAAATATTGCATGAATACTTCATCATTCAAGCGCTTTCTGGGCGTGCAGCTCTTCCTAATGAAGATGCAGTAGGTCAAGCTTGCAGCCTCCTGCAAACAGGCTGGGCAGCTGCCTGCTCGCGGCCGAGTGTGTGGCTGCTGCGTGGACTGGGGAGGGAGCAGCAGGAAGGGGGGATGCTGGGGCTGGGGGGCTGGGGTGAGAGGTGGCAGGGACAGGGGTGGTGCTGAGTGAAAACAGGAGCATGACGTGAGGAGCCCAGGAGATGGCTGGGTGGCGAAGCAGGAAGTGAGGAGGCAGGGTTGGGGCAAGGAGGGGGTAGGCTGGGAGGTGAACTCCGAGCTGGAGAAAATCAGGACAGCTCCGGAGACAGCTGATCCATCCATGCCCTGGGCAGGAGCAGCTCTACCTCACCTCTTCCTGGCAGTGTGTCTCGCCTGGTCTTAAATGCCTCCCCAGGCCACCTCTCCCAGCGCTTCCCTGCCCTTTCTGCCAAGAAGGTTTTCTTCTCGTCCAGCTTCAGCCTGCCTCGTGTAGCTCCGGGGCTGCCTGTGCTCTGCGCAGCAGAGAGGGAGTTGTTTTTCCACCTCATCACCTCGCAGTGGCCTTTCATGTGTCGGCATGCTGCTGTAGCTCCCATCACTCCTCTGCTCCCGGGATTCGCGTGACCCAGCCTCCTGCAAACTTTTCTTGCTTGCTGGATTTTTTCTAGACTTCCGGTTGTTGCTCCTCTGGAATTTCTCCAGCAGGTCATGGCTGTTTAATGCGTGGTGCCAGCCTCTTGCCACAACGGAGCTGTCCCACAGTGATTTCAGACCTCTCGCTCCCTCATCACAAATTCCTTTTAAATTCAAATCCCGCCCCACTCCATGCTGCCGTCTCTGTTATCCACCACCCATGTCACCTGCAGAATCCCACTCCCAGAGTGGCGATGAGGACTACATCCCGTTTTCTTCTTCCCGACCAGTTTTGTGCTCACCTCATCATAGCTGCGTTCAGCCGCAGGGCTGCCCCTCACTCACAGGAGCCTTGCTGGAGGCCATGCAAGACTCTTGCTGCGGTGGTGATGGGGCCGGTTGGCGATTGCAGCAGGGTCCCGGGATCAGCCGGGTGCCTGGCGGGACCTCGGAGCCCTGCGTGTCTGGGCGCGGTCACTGGGCAGCGCAGTCACAGCACAGATGGTCCTGCCCGGGGGAAGCCCTGCTGTCACCCCTGAGGTCACTGTCACCCAGCGAACTTTTTTGGTGCAGGCATTAGGGAGCAGGGGACCACAGGCACTGGTCTGCAGCTTTAAGGGGATAAGGAGAGCACACCTCCTCCTGAAATCTGGGGCTACAAGGTGAAGAGATGGCACCACTCGGCTTTGTGCCCACCAGGGCACGCAGCCCTTTGCAGCAATGGGGTCTAGGTACAGGTCTGCGCCATGTCTGCTCCCCACCAGGCCACAGGCCACCTCTCCTGGCTCACGCCAGGTGCACGCAGCCTGGGAAGCACCGCACTCGGTGCACGCTGTCTGCAGCAGCATCCCGCAGTGCTGGGCTGGGGCTGCTGGCCTGGCCTGTGCCCTGGCACTGGGGGTTTGCCCAAGGGCCATGCAATGACTGGAAGGCATCCAGGGCATTACAGAAACTGATATTTTTAGGGTTCTGCCTTGGTTAGGGCAAGCTGGTCAGAGCCTTTGCAATCCTTGGTGAACCATGCAACTAGTCTTTTAAGAAAGGAGTTGGTACATCTCGGAGCCGAGCAGCGCAGGGAAGCACCCGACATGACGACTCCCTGCAGCGTGCCGTGGTGGTCTCGTGCCGTGGCCTCGGTGGTTTGCAGTGTGGCCACGCACTGTGTGGGGGTGACGGGCAGGACCCTGGCTGGTGGTCAGTGGCCACCCCAGGCAGCCCTTCACGCGGGCTCTGCGGGGGGCAGAGGACAGCTGTCCCTGGTGGCCGCAGAGCTGGGAGCAGGGCTCCTGCTCACACCGGGCAGTAGGAGAGGGAGCCTTGCCCGGCGCAGGGAGCCAAGG